TTGGCCTAATAATGATATATGGATTTTGGAATTTTATTTTAAAAGGTTTAGCTACAATATAGGCAATTTGCAGCACATGAAGTACAGCCTGCCCCAAATTCTGCAAGTCTCCCCTTCTCCTCCATCCCCTGAAGGCGGAAGCAGCTGGTCATCCCTGTTCTAGACTACATTATGAAGATTTTGGCAATCACTAAAAATAGCTGCTGAAGTATAAGCTTATTAAATGAAGTGAACCCAGGTTGGCTGTGACAGTAGAATCTATTATACCAAATTATAATATCTTAAAGATAAGCAAAGAAATTAAATGATCAAGTGAATATTATGCAAATTAAAGCAGTGTGTCATGAAGTACCCAGCCTTCGTATGTTCTTCCCTTCCCCTCACTTCTAACCCAATCAATTTTATTCAACATCCTGGTTACATAAAGCTGCAGCCAGGCATCAAAAGCATAGCATGTCAAAACTTAAAAATATTCAAAAGGAGCTAATCACACTGGTCTGGAATTAGCTATAAGAAGTCAAGTAGCTTGTAGCCAAGTAAGGCTTGGAATCCTAGTTTCCTCAACTAAACAGTATAAACAATGCAAAATAAAATAAAAACCAAAACCCATAGTCAAACTGCTCTTTTACAGCCATCAACAATGGAAACATGCTGTTTATTTTTATTATTGAACAAGCTGAAGCATAACCCAGTAGGCTGACATTTAGAAGAAATGCATAATCTCAAGTGCATGCTCTTCTGTCAATCAATCTGTTACAGTCAATATTGAGCACATCATCATTTAATTTCACAGTGAAGAGACATGAAGTATACCACCTACATAAAACTGGTGGGCTTAGGAATATTCTCAAGACATGCAAGTTAGCTGTCTAAAAATTGCAAACAGATCGAATATGCAGAGACTTACTTTCCGCCCATCACTTGCATGGCAGTTCACATTTAAAGGTGTCAACAAAGCCATTAGTTTTTCTTCATTGCCACTCCTGCATGGTGGGAAATAAGAAATGGGGGGGGGGATATCTTATAGAACATTTGAAATGGAATTCCACATCAATGCTCTATACACTGCATATTCAAAGATTCAAGTAGCATGCTTGCCAAAATTTCATTTCTTTCCTCTTTGATTTTTATAAAGACTATGATATCAATGTAAAACTAACAGGAAATTCACATTTTATCTATATTCTACTTGGATTTATGTATCTGCTGTAAGACAGTATCCAAATATCTATTTTTGCTACATTCCCCAAGACCCTATAAATAGCTTCAAACCTCTTGCTCCAGGTTTGATGTGCTTTAATATGAAAATGTAAAATATGCCTTTAAACCATACAAAAGAGAACAGAAAATATCTGAATACATGATTTCTGACTAAAAGGATCAGTTAAGAAATATAAATGAAATCTGAGGTACATCATTTCAAAAATTCAACCACCACCATACTGCATGATAAAAAATAAGCACATTATTTTGCTCTTTGTAAGTGACTAAAATATAGAGACTCATGCTAGTCAGGTTTTTTATCTGCATAATTTCATTAAAAGGTAATGACAGATCATAAAAGCCCATTTTTCACCCTTACTTTCTACCACCCCCACTTTAAAAACAATTTGTATTCTGAACAGCACTTACCTAGCAGCTTCCAGGAGTTCGTCCTTCTTGTATTCACCTAAATGATTGCAAAATATCATGCTGTTAGCATTTGGCAGAAGACAGATTAAGAAATGCAGCAGGAAGCAAATACAGAATTAAAGCGAGAAGGGGAGGGGGGAACGAGTGAGCCCACACCCCGCTGGGTGATGGAGCTGTGACGTTAGCCAGCTTGTGGAGGCAGCATCACCAGTGCCTTGGAGACGGGCAGCAAATTGACGCAGCTTCTTGTCCAATCCTCGGATGAAATGGCTTTCTTCAGGCAACCAATGAATGCTAAACTCATGTCCAGAAACAATCCTTCTGATAACAGCATGGCAGCTGAATGCAAGGTATCCTCCCCCACTTTTCCTATTCAATATCACAGCATTCTAGCAGAGCATTAAAATGCTGACATCTATAAGACAATGATTCTTTAAAAATGAAAGGTACGAGTAGCCATTCCTAGCTTACCAGTATCCCACAAAAGAATTATTTTCCACCAGAGATTCTTAAGCCTCTGCCTCACAAGACTGTTTTTAGCCTTAAGGAAACCAATGCCTCAATATGAAAGAGAAGAGGAACGGCAAAAGCATTTTGACAGACACATTTTAAATCTACCATTAAAAGGTTGCCTGTTCTTATATCTTTGGGCAAAATTCTAAATTCATGCCCTGAACTTTAGCTATACCCAGTGCCAAGTCTTCCACTAAGTATGTGAAGCATTTGTGCCTTGAAAAGTATCTATGAACCCTCTGGTCTTCAAAATCTGATGCTTATTTTTTGAAGTAGATAATTATGCATTTATTTTGCCTAAAATGCTGATACACCTCAATTTAAATGCCATAAAGTTAGAGAATTAAAATTCTTGTAAGCCTTGGCTATCATACTTAATGCTGCTCTCGCTCTCTCTCAATCTGCATAACACCCTTAAAACGAAAACAGCAACATTACCAACACATCCATTAAAATCACCTAATGAAGATATCAGCACAAATTCTCTCCAACGGTTAGGGCTGATGGGAGTGGTAGTCCAAGACACGTGGCAGGAACAAGGCTGAAGAAAGAAAGGCTATCGCACCATCTTTCAGGATCTCAGGCAGGGTTTCTCCCAACATTGCTATCCAAGATACTACAAGTTTGGAGTTGCATGGCACCTCTGCATCTGATATATGGAATCTAGTTCTGCGCTAAGGCCCCTTCTGCCATGTTAGTAGCAGGACTAGCAAGGAAAAAAGTCTTATTTATTCAGTACCTTGGAAATACAATAGCTTTGGCTCTCTTAGGCTTGGATACAACGATAGAGCATCCCCCAGGAGAGTTTGGTTTACAGGAGGCTTGGGCTTGGGCCAATGGAAGAGGGGAGATGCAATTTTCTTCTGAAGGATGTTTATGGGGGGGGGGGGGTTCTCAGGTGACTTGCCACATGGAGACTAGGCAGACCAAGAATTGATCAACTTCAGCAAAGGGCCTAAATCATGCTCCATTTCAATAGTCCCCAATCATTCAGGCCAGCACTCACATTTGAATTTTGAGAGAATACTGTAAACATCCTTACACAATGTGATGGGCACAGCCAGATGTAAAACACTCATTTCCCACAATGCAAAATGCTGAGGCTGAAGGAAAAGGAACTCACTCAGGAACTGAAACACTGAGGGAATGAGCTTAAAAATATAAAACCACTATTTTGAATCAGTTTTCGGTCCATTTCACAGAAGACAAAGTAATGAAGCTCAAAGACAAATATATTGGCAAAGTAACTATCAGGTGAACATTGGTTTGAATCCCTAATGCCTATCACCAAAGCACAATAACATAATTATTTCACAGAAGACAAACTACAGGTGTCCAGTGAAAAACACACAGGCAAAATACACATCCTGCCCCCTCAAAAAGTGTGTGTGTGGGAGGGGGGAAGCAAGGCAACACACAAACCCAGGGAAGACACACTTTACACTCCAACAAACCAGCCATTGCACATGAATGCACTCAAAACAAAAACACAAACACCATACAGGGAAACATCCCCTGCCACCCCTACTAGCTCCCCGTGATATTTTTTTCTTTTTTCCAGGTATTCATGTGCATTTCAAACCAAGGCACAGCGCTACAGGCACTCACCTTTCCATTCCCAGAAACATTCTTGAAAATAAGGACAGAGGGCAGTACAGAAAGCTGTACTGGACTAGCTGGTAACACAATGAAAATCTAGCCATTCAGCTCCTTGTAGGGGTTCCTTTAAGGCTACCATAGTTGGTCTTACTAGGTGCAAGAGAGCCAGTGGAGGCCCAACATTAGTGCTGGCCACTACGGATTGCAGGAAACCAGAGTGTTACCTCCCATTTTTTAAAACAATAATAAAAATCACAAAAATGGGATACACTGTGACTAGCTATATTTTATAGTTTTGTCTCCAGGTATTGCAATTATTTTAAAAGAACTGTTGTAAGCCACTCATGAGGTGGGCTTTCTGGAAAAGTTTGAATTGGAGTAATTTGCACAGTATGATTTTCATTGGAAAAATTTTTGGTGTGTGTCAGGAAAAGCTCTGTGCCTTAAAGCAGGGCCACATGAGGGCTTCGTCATGGAATCTGGGAGCCGCAGGATGAATTACATTTCCATTTCACAAATTAAAGTATTCATAATGCATTTATTTTATTTAATACACACAATTAATATCTGCTTCAGGGATCAGGGGCAGCTGCTTAATTTTAGAATGATTGTAGGAGTAATTGAAAAAAAACGCTTTGTGGGCCTGGGATCCCTGGAGAGATCACAGGCAGCTCCTTCTCTGATCACAGTCCAAGCACAACAACCTGTTCTCTGGTGTGGCCCATCCATTTTCCCTGTTTCTCCCACCCAGAAACCCTCCTATGTGACCCCCCTCCCTTGCCCCCATTTCCTTCTTGGAATTGGCATGTTGAGCCTCTTGTACTTGGGCTGACAAATTCTCCCCCAGATGCCCTGCCCACTCCTGCAGATGAGCACAAAGGTGCTCAACTCCTGAGTGCCTTGAGATCGTCAGCTGGAATCATGTGAGGCATACTGGGGCAAGCTTTCACGAGGCTGCCAGCCCAACCCACTCTCTTCCTGAGCCTCAGGAAGACAGTGGGATGGACCAGTGGCCTTGGAAGAGCTCACTGCAATCATGCCCATACCATTGCTGGGATCTGAACTGGGGAGGAAATGAGGAATCTCCAAGTGGCAAAAGGGCCAGAGGCTGTGTACAGCCTATGAGCCTCGTGTTGGGCCATCCTGCCTCAAAGCATCCTTCCCCAGCCTGTTGCTCTCCAAAAGTTTAACAAATCCTCATTCAACCTGGCAAGCATGGTCAATGTGCAGGAAAGTTGAAGACCAAAATATCTAGAGGGCACCATGTTTGGAAAGACTGCCTTGGAGAGTGCTATAATTTATGTTCATCTTACTTATATTTAGTAAACAAAGGCTAGAAAACACCCCATATTGATTTGGCCCAGTACACTAAATATTTCACCTGAACAATTTAAAGGGGGAAAAAGAAAGCATATTAAATTGGAAGCATCCAGTACTGTTGCTACACTTTCACTAATTCTGTTGTACCCATCACTAAGACAGTAGAAAGTTAGCGCTAGTTAAAATAAAGCTGGAACACTAATTTCTAAATTGGGACAGGACAGTGGAGTTCCCTTCTTCAAGCTATGCTGACCTGCCCCATTCCCGAAGTGACCATTTTCACTCATTTCCAGTTACCATAAGAACCGCTAGGTCCTTGATGCACTAAGTATGGGTCCCACTGCCGCATGGGCATCATTGGATTTTGCACAATGTTCTATTATGCAGGCACTGTGTTAGAATGCTTTAAAAATCCACATACAATATGTACCTTCTTTGTGTTGTTGACATTTAAGAGAAAAAAAACAAAGTTGAAAACTGCAGATTAATACATTTTATCAACTCAAAGAATTGTGTGTAATATACAAAGTCGACAACTGTCTTATACTATATTTACAACTGACATCCATTCATTCTAACTAATAAACATATGAAGGGATGTCTGGCTGGATCCAGGAGGTCGTAAATGCCTCTTTGAGAGAGGAAGTGGTGCCAGTCTCTTTAAAGGAGGCACTAATTAGGTCCCTCCTGAAAAATCTTAACCTGGATCCAGATGACGATAACTACTGGCCAACAGCCAACATTCTGTTTCTGGGCAAAATGCTTGAGAGGGTGGCTGCCAGTCAACACCAGGCAATCTTGAATACAACCAATCATCTAGATCCATTTCTGTTGGGCATCATGCCTTGTTGTGGAACAGAGACTGCCTTGGTTGCCCTACTGAATGACCTCTCCTGGGAGAGAAACAGGAGTATGACCTTGTTGATTCTCTTGGACCTTTCAACAACTTTCAATACCACTGACCATGGTATCTTTCAGGATAGACTGTGTGGGTTAGATGTTCCAGGCACTGCATTGCAGTGCTTCCACTCCTTTTTGGATGGCTGATTCCAGAGAGTAGTGCTGGAGGATTATTGTCTATACCTTTGCAACTATTATTCCTATCCTGTTCAACATGCATAGAAAGCCACTGGGGTAGGTTATCCTGAGGTGTGGTTATTATGCGAACAACACTCAGTTAAACTTCTCCTATCATCAGATCCAGGTGAGGCATTGACTGCTCTGAATGAAGGCCTTAGCATGTAATGGACTGAAGAGGCTTAAGAGCAAATAACCCAAAATTCAGTGCAGACAAGACAGAATTACCGCTAGTGGATGGTTCACCAACCAAAAGAGTGATATACAACATGTTCTGAAGGGGGCTGGACTTCCCCTAAAACATGGGATTCATAATCTAGAGGCACAGGTGGTATCAGTGGCACAGAACACCTTTGTCAGCTACTATACCAGCTACATTGAAGGGCATTCATTCATAGAGTTACCCTAAGTCAGAGATAGCCTGATGGCACATTACTGCAGCATCAGGATTACTGGATAACAAGTTATACATGATGTATCTGAAAATGATCTGGAAACTTCAGTTGGTCTAAGATAAGGCAGTGAAAT